AGTGAAAATCAAAGACTGATTTGCAAGTTTACTGGGACTGATAAGGTCAGTTGGTTCAGGTTAGGATTTGCATCGTTGCAAACTCTTGCTATTTTGCTTGAATTCTCCCAATATTTAGTATTCACTATAAAGCCCAGGCTACAGGAACCAAGACCTTTTATGAGCTTCTGTGTTTTAATTTTTAGAAGACGTTTCCAGACCTTACCTATGTACAAAAAAAAAAAAAAAGACAATTAAACCCAAGTACTTAATTTGAAAAGCAAAATGCCCAGAAAAGGAATAAAAATAAATTAAGGCATTCCTTTAAAAAAACTGATGTAATAATTTAAAAAACAGCTTTGGGGTGCAGAGGTGCTAAATTTTTGAGGGCTTCCTATATCCACTTCTTGATCTGTTTGGATACCAACAGCTTGGGAGGAATTCCCTCTCCCCCCCTCCAATCTCACACAAAATGTTGCCTGCAAGTAATCAACTTACAACCTAGTGTTTCATGGAGTTAACTTCGGTTTCCTCATATTGTTTCTTTCTCGTTTTTCCAGTGGTGACAAATGCTTTGAACTGAAAATGTGTTACAGTTGACCAGCTTTATTTACTTCCACAAAATCGTGTCAGACTCCTCTGCTGGTAACAAGTCTCAGAGTTCACGGTTTCCCGTGCAGGTTACTGTAAAACACTGCTTTCCTGGCCAGGCCAAGGCCGACCCACTCGGCACAGCTGAGAACACAAACCCGAGTCTCTCCCGCTCTCCAGTCACAGACACCTGATCAAAGCTCCAGCGCACAAACACGTTCAAACTTCTCCCCGTTCCCACACTCTTCTTTCAAAGCACTATTTGCGGGCTGACATCACCCGGGCCCAGCCGCCCCCCTGCACAGAATCCCAGAATGGGTGAGGTTGGAAGCGACCACAGCGGGTCACCTGGTCCAACCTCCCTGCTCAGGCAGAGTCATCCTAGAGCTCATGGCAAAGGATTGTGTCCAGACGTTCTTGTGCCTCTCCCGTGAGGGAGACTACACACGCTCCCTGTGCAGCCCGTCTCGGTGCGCGGTCCCTCCCCCGCCCCGGCCGCAGCCGCGGTTCCCTCTGCCCGGGGCCGAGCGCTCCGCCCCTGCCATCCTGGCCTGGGGAAGAACGTGACGCCCGCCCGGCTCCAGCCCGGCCGGGAGCCCCCGCTCTGCCCCGAGCACCGCGACGCCCTGCGCTCCGCGACCTCAGGGCTGCAGGAAACCCCCTGGCGGTACTGACCTGACCAGGTCGGTCATGCAGGATCCCACCACCACCACCTGCGCGGCCATGGCGCCGGGCGGCCCCTGGACCCTGACCCGGACCCTGACCCCGACCCGGCCCGGCCCGGCCCCGCCGCCGCTTCGCCCGTTGCCAGGGGCGACGGGCTGCCCGCGGGGGCCTTCGCCTGGCAGTGTTGCCCTGCCGAGCGCCTGCTGCCACGGCGGCTCCCCCTCCTCCTGCCTCTCCTGTCCCGCTCCGGCCGCGGCCGAGCCGCCAGACAGCCCGCGCAGGCACTTGCGGCAGCCACCCCTATCGGGGCCTGCGAAGACCCCTCCGGCCCGGGCGGGGACGGCGGCGGCGGCGCGGGGGGAGCGGCGGCGCGCACAGCGCGCGGCGGGGCGGGGGCGCGCACGGCGGGAGCGGGGGCGCGCACGCCGTTGCCAAGCGGCGAGTTCCGGCCGCCGTAGGTAATGGCGGGGCCGGGGCGAGCGGGACGGGCACGGGGGGAGGGAGCAGCGCCCCTGCCCCTCCTGGGGCACAAGCGGGCGAGATGGGATCCGGCGCCGGGAGGAGCTGGCCCAGAGTCGGCGGAGGCCGGTGTAAACAGCGGCGCTGGGGTGGGGCGGGGCGGGCGCAGCGCCGCGGGTGGTGGCCCCGCCGCCTTCGCATGGGGCGGCCCCGGCTGGGGAGGGAGCGGGGCTGGGCCGAGCCAGGGCCAGCCCGGAGAGAAACGGGAACGCAGGAAGTCCCAACTGAATATGAGGAAGAGCTTCTTTACTGTGCCGGTGACTGCGCATCGGGACAGGCTGTCCAGAGAGGGTGTGGGGTCTCCCTCTCTGGAATGCAGGAACCATCTGGATGCAGTCCTGTGCAGTGTGCTCTAGGATGACCTTGTCTGAGTCGGGAGGTTGGACCGGTGACGCATTGTGGTCCCTTCCAGCCTGACCCACCTTGGATTCTGAGCGTTATCCCGTCCCAGGGCTGAGGGAGCTCAGGGGTGTACTGGGACCCCGCAGATCCACGTTGCTGGGAGCATTCCGTGCGTGCGTTCGAGCACAGCAGCAGGAGGTGCTGGTGGTGGTGGGTCCCCTCCTTTCCCCACTCACACCCAGACACCCATTCCTGCCACCCCCAAAGTGAAAACCACACAACCACGTTGCCGACGGCCACGCCAAGAGGGTCAGACAGGAAAGGTCCCCTCTCGCTCCCAGGCCTCCATCACAGTATTAGCCTTTGCCGCCTTAAAGCTTCACTAAATGCCCATAATGCTGTTGCCGGCGGTGGAGGGACAGACTTACCTGTCATCCAGACAGTGTCCAGTGCCTGAAGCAGTGCCTGGGACCCCATGGTTACTCTGAGGCATATGTAACATTAGCCTGAAGTTATTCAGCCAGCTGAATCTAAAAGGATTCAGCTACTAGTTTTGTTTGCTTCTTTCAAGTGCTTTGTTTTGGAAGGGAAACAGTCCAGTGAATTTTGTTTTTGTTAATTCCTTTGAGTTTGTTGGTGTTTGGTTTCCAGTACTGTGGGAAACTTAAGCTAGGGAGAAAAAAAATTGTATATGACATCTGAAACTTAGGAAAATGGTACAAATTGTGTTCTAGTTTATAAAGCCCTTTGTTTACAAAATAAATTTGTTTAACTGATATGGCTTATTATATAGAAGGTATTGTGATTAAAAAAAAAGATACAAAAAATCAGCAAAAATCCTAACAGTAATTTATATCTTGTTTTGACAATATCTGTAAATTTTATTAACAAAAAGATAAGGAATTTCATTCTGCAGTTCATTTTGGAAGGTGCATCTGTTCAACTGTGGCTACCATGTGTATCTCTTATGTCTCACAACTTCGTTCTCATAACACAGTCCCCTGAAAATGTGTTAAAACCAGTTCTGAGGTCCTTGTTTATGAGTTTAAGTTTTCTAAAAGGATAGCTTGTTTTTCAGCATTTTGTCATGGTTTAAGTTCTTATCTTCCTGAGCCCACCTGCCCCCTGCTTGAAATTACTCTTCCCTACAGCAGGGCTGGCAGACTAAAGTAAGTGCCCTGTTTTAGCCACTCTTGTGCAAAGTGTTTTAGTTTAAACTCATCTTTATTAGCATTTCAACGTAAGCCACTGGACTTCTCATTGAAATAGGTCAAGTGTGGGCTTGTGTTCTCTTACTCCCTCTGGGGAAGAATAAAGGTAAGTAGGCAGTAATTTTTGGTTGAAAAGTACCAAACAAGAGGTAATGCATTACATCGCTGTAGGTGTTTGCTAAGCAAAGTTGTTGCCATTGTCAATTACGGCAAATCATATCTGTGAAGAGAACACATTATATGCCAGGGCATGGATACTTAATCTTCAGCTTCTTTGCTGCCATAAAATGTTGGAGCCAGTGTATTAAAGTTAATTACTGTTTTTAGGAAGTCTTGCTTTATTAGTCTTTCTGTTTGCCTTAATGTGCCTGGCCTTCGTTTTATTCAAATACATTCCAAATAGCAGGACAAACACTCTTTCTTGAGCATTGCTTTGTGTTGCTTCAGTGTGAATGACTTTCATGAGAATAGAATGTGAAATAGAATGTGAAATTAATGTTGCTCCCAGTTACAGAAGACTATTAGTTTGTAGAATATCCCGTAGTTACTAACTAATACTTGTAAACTGAGTGTGAGAAACAACAGAAAATTATGAGTTGTTCGTAGAACTCATGAGTTGTTCACACTGTCTTTATAGAACACTGATTAATACAACAGTCCATATGCAGCACTTTGTAAGAAAGTGAATGCAGTGTGTATTGCTGTTTTTCAATTAAATGTATGTTTTAAAAAATATCTTCTAATGGTCAGAGTTTAAGTATGAGCTTTTTTGTCCCACTGATGTGGCATGTTTATGTTACCTTCAATCATTTACAGCCTTTTTCTCCAAAACTGCCAAGTTCAGTTAATTTTCAGATGAAACTGTGCCTAAGAATATGATAAAATATGTTAACATTTTAATAGTTTGGTTACCCTTCTTTTCTCCCACTTGTCTTACCACCGTCTGTTGTTGTCCACATACCCTAGTCTTTTTGTGGTGCCATGAGTTAAAACGTGTGCATGCTCAGTTTCTGCATTTCACTTAAAAAGCAACAGGTTCTTAAAGGGTGCTAACTTGGTGGCCTGTCTGATTTATCATAAGGTCACACAAGTGCAGTATTTCTGAAAAAACTGCTTAAATTGTGTCTACATCAGCTTCCTGATCTGTTACATGAAGGAAGATGAAGATGCTTGTCAAAGAGTATGGCGATAGCACTGAAGGAGAAGCAGTGTTAGCCTTTAAAAGGCATCACAGAGTCCTAATGAAGTCCAGTGTAAAAGTAATACTGGTTATGGGTACAGTAGTGCTATTAGAAATTGCACGTGAGAATACGGAAAAATAATCAAACCCTTGGGCCCATTCAATTATTGTAAGTCCCACTGATTTCAGTGGAAGCAGAGGAAATGTGGCTTGTCAATTACAGACCTGATGGAAATGCCCACAAGGAGGTCTAGAGTGTAAACTGTCAGGGTGACCCTCAGTTATTTTTCTCTTTCTCAGAGGGATAGGACCTTAATTACAGGAGCCTAGGACGTAATTCTGAGTTTATGTTGATATTGAATAAACGGGCTTCACTGAATACTGCAGAGGTAGGAGGAAAAAAAACCTACCTGTTCTTATTTTTAGTTTATAAACCTGTGCACACTTAGTAGTTACTTGTAGTCCTTAGTGTGCTTGGCTTTTTTTTTCTTCCGATATTTGCAGAGTACATGTGAATTTACATCAAATAAGTAGGCTGTTTTTGGATTTTATTTTTTTCCATTGCCGTCCCTTTGCAGCTCAAGACAAAAGGAAGGAGGAACGTACTAAAATGTCACCTGAAGTTGCCTTGAACAGAATTTCTCCAGCGCTCTCGCCCTTCATTTCCAGTGTGGTCAGAAATGGAAAAGTAGGACTGGATGCTACTAATTGTTTACGGATTACAGACTTGAAATCTGGGTGAGTTCCTTGTCCGAGAAGAATACCCAGTCCCTCACAGTTGAGATGTGTTTTCAGAACTGGATTTTATTAGGTTCATTTAAGCTCTTTGAATATAGCTGGAGCTGACATTCCAGCTACATTACTTTTTGTCTTCCAACCGTTTTTTTAGTTTGGGAGACTTAATTTGTCATATTGTTGGCAATAATAATCTTGTTAAAACACTTTCATCGCTGCCACTTGATAGTGCTGGTTTTCAGCAGGGAGATAAACATTTTTTCCTGTTGTTTACCACTTGCTTACTCGATCTTCTTTGTAATTTAAAAATTGAAGATAAATTTGTATGACCTTACCTGTAGGCATGAATATGCCAAAACAGAAAAAAAACCCCCACCCTTTCTTTTATCTGACCTCCCTCAAGTTCAGTATATCAAGTGGCTATAGGGCCAAGTGTTTGAAATAGGCCAAGCTCCTTCTTTTATTTTTAATTCTAGAAGTGTTCAGGTTAGCTTTCAAGTAGTGATAAAATTTTGGGATTCAAAAAAGATGAAGAAACTTCTGCGTTACACACAGAGGTGTGTAACCTCTGTGAATAGTACACTGGGTAAAGTAAAGTAGACTTTACTTGAGGCATTGTGCAAAGAGGGGAGACTCCCAAGGTGGCTGATAAAAGAGTACTTGAGATAAGATGTGTCAGAAATTGCTTTATTCTTTTAGAGTTGAGCATCTAGCAGCACCCATTGATTTAGGTATTTATTTTGATACAGGAGCTCAGAGCCTGAAATTACTTTTGCTTAAGATGTCCAAGTCATCTGTTTTGTATAAACTATTGCTTTATGTACCATTTCAAATGATAGCTAATGCAATAATTGATCTTGAGATCTTGAGAACCAGCACAAGCCACTGTTGTTAAAAATTTAGTTCTGCTGAAAACTGTTTAATATGCTCCTGTAGGCTGTTTTATTATGGTTTCATGGAGAGCTTGGAAGGTGCTTTTCTGGTGGTTATAATGCCTTTTCAGGAAGGAGGTTTGAATTCTACGGTTAGTTTGAAAGCAACCATTCCCTCCCTGTAAGGTGCTGTGCCAGAGTACAGATTTACTTGGAGGTCTAAGAGGCCATGACTTTGTAATTAGCGTTGACTGGCTTGACATTTAGGCTTGCAAATTATGTAAGACGGGCTGAGCAGTTCTGCATCTGCTGCTGTCATTTCATGCTGGACCTTGCTTACTCTTGAGCTAGTCTTCTAGGAAGGCTGAGATGGGAGCTACTGAAATCCTGAGAGAAAGGAATACAAAGAAAATAGAGAGCAAACACAGCTGTAGTTGGTGGTAAAAGTATCAGTTTGTTGGGAGGTAGGTAAGAGTTTTGATCTCTGCCCACTGAATGCTTATACTGCCTGCCTGCCTTTAAATGAATAGATTGAAATAATAAAAAGCAGTATTTTCTAGCTGACTCTTTTCAACGGTACTTTTAAAAGGTGTCTAACATTTTTGGCCAATGATCTTATCAAGAAATCTTACTTTTGTTATATCCGGAATGTTTTCCAAGACTTTATTCTTTAAAAACTAAAAACTGCCACCAGCTGCATCTGTCACCCAAACCCAGTGATTCAAATTGTATTGTCACTGTGTTGAATGTGGAGTCTACGCACAAGTAAAGCACCTGACAGAGATTGTCTCATACCTTGTTTAAAGACCGGTTCAGCTGTATGCATGTGTTAGCAATATTGTTTTTTCTGGTTCTGGAACACAGAAATGAACCTCATTTTTGTATTGGGGCTTTGTTTGTCTTGAGATTATTAGGAGATGGAGTTGGGATAATCAAGATTCTGCATTTAGTTGAGAATTATTTTTAAGGGTTTTTTTTGGTACAGCTAAGTTACTTAAAAACATTATTTTAGACAGGATTAATTAGCGATTACTTGAAATTTCTTTGAAATGTAAATTTCATGCATGTGTGTTTTTAGGAAAGATTTTTGTTGTTTGTTACAAATAATTCATCGTTAGTTTATTTATATGAGAAAATTTTGAATTTATGCATCAGGGTGGAAGTACGAAGTTCTTGTGATTTAGTGCCTTATGATGTCACTGAACAGGAAACAGTGTAAAATTACTTAACATAAGATGGATGCATCACAGTATTAGAGGGAAATATAATTGAAGGTGTAGTTCAGGGGTCTTTAACCTTTAATATGGAAGCCTTTGGTTCTCCATAGACTGTTTCTGAGAGTCCCGTGTCAGTTGATAAATAGCAAAGTCCCCAGCCCACTGTGTTGCTAGAAGATTTAAATGTGTTTTGTGCCTGTAAAGGAAAACTTCATTGGTCTCTGAGAGTTCAAAAATGGCTTGCAGATCATGGCTCTACTCTCCTCCCCTGCCCTTGCATCCCAAGGTTATCCAAACCCTTGTGTACTTTCACTTTTGTTACGCTTTTTTAAAAGGAAAAAATGACAATGCAGACAAAATAATCAGCAGAGGTAAATATAGGTACCTGATACCCACATGAAGAAACAGAAGTATGAGACCATCATGACTGGGCTTCACGAA